GGACGCGCGCAGAAAGTATTTTCATATGCAAATGAGGCTTTGGCGATCTGACTGAATTACGGGATGTTATCACAAACATTACTGCGGATATGAATAAAGTAATTACAGAAATGTAGGTGTAACATTTGAACTTATATATAGATGATGTGAAAATGTGACGAAGAAAGGAAAGTACAAGTGGTTTTATTGTACAAAATAGTTTCTCCTACGTATTTATACAAACATTGAAAACCTTTATTGTGCAACAATACTCATCAGGTAGTCAATATATACAAGTAACTTGTCGAATCTAGAGATGATTATTACTTGTAAAAATAATATATTTTGTGAAAGAAACCTAAAATCAATGAACCATTTAACATACATTCTAATATAACACACTATGTGAGGATTAGTTTACTGTATTTATTATATTATATTCCTAAGCTTATGAAAAATAAATACAATTGAAAAGGGCCGTTTTGTTTGGTTTTTTTTTGTTTAAATGCCGTACCGAAATGATATTTTGTGTGTGTAAACTGTTGATAGCACAGGCACGGGAATTTAATCGTTTTTGTTTCACTTTATTTTTTTTAGGAATTACATGTATCAATAACAGGACGATTTATTATATTTTGATGTTAAAGTAAATCACACCAGTTATGACAACCATTTAAAAACAAATTAGGAATATAATTTAACTGCGCGTAGACCGACTTGTACTCGAATCATGTTTATTTGCAAACTCCTTGCATATAATCTGCAAGAATATAAATAGAAGCATGTAGATTGTCGCCAATGTCACAGTCACCGTTTTTTATTGGTAAACTGTCATCCAAATTCAGAAGAACATGTAATGTAGGAAAAATCGTTTTCATAAATGTGGTTTGGTGCCCCCGCACATACACAAATTTACATACATCATGGCTTGAAATTATGACATGTACTGAATCTCAACTTTTAAAACTCTGACAATAAAAAAATATTGTTGCATTAAAATTGACAAGGCCGTTGACACGATGTTTATTTTACGATATCCATTTACCTGCTCGATAATTTTGACATCGTTTTAAATTCAGTGTTTAACCTTTTTGGGTGTAGTAATATTAATACCAGTCAAAATCATCAGAAGGCAACTGTCACCCGATTCACGTCCACACACACAACGCGTGCGAGGGCGTGAATCTGATTATGCGTCAATTGCGCACCTGATTGGAATGACAATGACAAAGGAATCGCACAACGATTTGGGAAGAAAAAGAAAGGAGATGGACGGCAGAGGGTGGACTGGAAGGAGAGGACTGGAAGAAGAGACTAGAAGAAGACACGGCAAACGAATAGCTCCCCTAGCCCCCTTTTTAGTTATATTGAATAGGTAACTAATAGTAGTAACGGTGATTTATTGATTTTATTTACTAAATGTTGAAACGTCATAATTCGATATACTCACTCTTGCGTAATTGGAGTGTGTGTATATATCCAAAAATACCTTATGTAAGCGAGTTTAATTCCCGAAATTATCCCCACATAGTATTCCCCAATCAGATTCCAAAAAATAACTCATTTATTTGATAGCGACAGTCGACGACAGACCGGTCACACAACTACAGCCACAGGAAGCCAATAACCTGTATGTCTAGACTGTGGGATGGGGGGTCGGGGTCGGCTGGTTGCTGCAGTTTAGCAGCTCTTATTGGCCGCTTAAGCTATTTTGATATTACGTTGCGGCCATAGAGCTGCAGATTCGCGTCCATTGAGAACCGCACAGTTCGCCGCCCCGGGATCCCGGGGCGCACGCTATTTTTGATGTTATCGAACGATTTCAATGAAATTCAAAACGAATAAAAGTTATCCTTGCAAACACAAACATCTTAGGTATCTACTGACCGAAAATGAAGGACTATTTCTTCTTGAAAAGTATATATTTCTGTGTATAATTAGACCGAACGTAATTTAATCGATTGAACGACGGATTTCAAGATGACCTCTGTCATGTGTCCTGATCACATGACAATGACGAAGCATGCGCAGTTGACATTTTAACTGAAAATTGAGAATGGCAGGTTTTGCATTCATTGTGGAGATGAGTTTCAGAAAAAAGTTAAAGGGTATCGCAGCATCCATTGCATCTAGACTTAA